ATTTAATACACGAGTTTCACAATTTGAGTTGAATTACCGAAATGAATTTTTCCACGACATTCTAATTTATTGAGATGCACCTGTATAATGTAATGTTGCAAAAGATCAAATAAATGCTGCACTTTTGAACTTTCTATTCGTCAAAGAATCCTGAAAAAAAAGGTTTCTACAGAAATATTAAGCAGCACAACTGTTTTTTATCACTAGTGATAAATGATAAATGTTACTTGAGCACCAAATCAGCATATTTCCGAAGGATCATGTGATACTGAAGACTGCAGTAATGGCTGCTTTGCCAACACCGGAATAAATTATATCTTAAAATACATAAAATGTAGTTAAATTATTTTAAATGTTATTATTTCACAATATTATTGTTTAATATTTCACAATAATTTACTGTTTTTTTTATCAAATGTATGCAGCCTTGGTGATTATAATAGACATTAAATATAAAAAATAAAAAAATAATTTTTTACTTTCTAATTTTTTCCATATTTTTACATTTAGATTATGTTTGCCTTCATCTAACCCTCTGACATTTAATATTTAACAACATTAATCATTTAATAACACTGTTAAATGTAATTTTAAGCAAATTCCAAATGGAATATCCATTTTTCATACTGTTCACGGTTTTGATGTTTAAATCCACTTAAATTGTCTTACTTTAATTTTCATTGTTTTTTATTTATTTAGATAAAATAATGTTGATATTAGTAGTGTCAGCATTAATCTTCTATTTTGTCTCTGCCATTATAAACTGATTGGCTTATCAATGCATTCCTATTTTGCTGTGAATCCTAAAAGTTACTTGACAGTTATTCAATTGATTTACTCACTAAGGCCAATTTCTACTGCTGGTGAGTGTTATTTTTGAACCCTATGTGATTATGTGCACATGTGTTTCAGATCTATCGGCGCTGCTGGCTGGTGTTTAAGAAGTCGTCCAGTAAAGGACCTCGCAGACTGGAAAAATACCCTGATGAGAAGTCCGCCTACATCAGAGCCTGTCCTAAGGTACACTTCTCAATGAGGTCTAATCTAAGCCCTGAAATTGTCACGGGAGAAATGAAACATTCAAGGAAAACATTCAAGTGTCACTTCAGTTCTCCAATTTTACTAACAGCCACGTAGAGCACATTCATACCGCAAGAGCTGGCGGGCGAGATTACGAGGCTGGCAGTGGGTAAACAGATAATTTCTTGAATAAAAGTATCCACGTGATTTTCTCTAACTTTGCTGACTCACAGGCCTCCGGTTTCTGTGTGTTTATCGCTCTCATTTGTCTTTCTTTACTGCACTACGCTGCTCTGTGAAAGATAAATTAGATGATTAAGAGAGCACAAGTGCCTTTCCAAATGATGTAAATGAAGCCTTTCTGAATAACTAGGCTCTGTCACTACTTCTGAGTTGCATCGGTTTCCTTTTACACACAGGTGACAGAGATTAGTAATGTGAAGAACATCACAAGATTGCCTCGTGACACGAAGCGGCAAGCCGTGGCCATCGTCTTTACAGATGACACCTCTCGAACCTTCACCTGTGAATCAGGTACATCATCTTTTCTAAGGCTTGTTTTGCTGCAGCAGCTGATGAGGATGCTTCACTTAAAGAAGCTTTCATTCTTGATATTAGCGTTTCGGTCTATACGGTCTGATGACGTGCTGCTCTCAGGCACAATGACAGACCGCATCTCCTAGTGTATGTTTTATTCATAGAACATTTTCATTGAAAGAACATGTTCATTCATTGACATCATTGAATCTTCCTGTTCTCACAGAGCTGGAGGCTGAAGAGTGGTTTAAGACCTTGTCTATCGAGTGCCTGGGGACACGTCTGAATGACATCAGTCTTGGGGAACCAGACCTCCTGGCCGCTGGAGTTCAGTGTGAACACACAGGTAAGAGACTAAAGTCATTTGTACAATTGCTTTCCTATGAGCTGGATTCCTGTAGCTTGTTTCATATCAAGAGTATGGCTTTAGATCTGTTGTGTACTTCAGTGACAACTTGGTAGCACTTAGTTTAATATACACTGTCAAAAATATCCTGTTAAATTTCCATTAATTAAACAGCAGCTGTGGTTGCCAGAAATTCACTGTAAAAAATATGATGACAATGTTTTGGCTATTACGGGATGGAAAATTGATACTGGTTTATTTTACTGTATATTTCATTACGTGATATGATGTAACTAACTGATCTACTTGAACATCCAAAATCTGCTTGGTCTATCCGTAACATGACACTAAAATAATGCAATAAACATTTATTAAATGACAGAAAATTTAACAGTAACCACCCTGATGTATATAATAGAAATAAGACTAAAGTAAATTATTTATATAAAATATAATCATATGTGATGTGTCACAGGGACTTCTAGGAGTATTTTACTGTTTTTCATGGATAATTATATGGTAATTTATAGTTTTAACCAACAATTAACCAACAAATTAGACTGTATTTTACAGGAAAAATTACATATGATGTGATGCTAAACCATTTAATTTTTTCTCCATATGTGTTAAGGTTAAGCTTTTTTGTTCTGTAAAAAAAATACTTTTTTCTTCTTTTTTATTTTTACAGTGTAGTGACCAGTTAAGCAAATACAGTTAACCAAGTACCTAGTTTTTCACTATCAGTGTCTCATTTTTTTTTTCTTACAGAGCGCTTCAACGTGTTCCTGTTGCCCTGCCCCAATCTTGACATCTACGGAGAGTGTATGATGCAGATCACGCATGAAAACATCTACCTGTGGGATATTCACAACCCTCGCACCAAGCTAGTAACCTGGCCGCTTTGCTCGCTGCGGCGCTACGGACGGGATGCTACGCGCTTCACCTTTGAGGCTGGCAGGTAAAATATGTTGAAGATATCATTCATTTAAAGCCAATATGACATTTTACAAAGTCTTGTGAAGTGTATATTTCAGTTCAGTGTGGTCATGTAAATGTAGGAGAAACATGGAAGCAGGCCTGTGGACCTCCTAAAAGGATTTATTGAGTGCATTACAAGGAGTTCAGTGGCAGATTAGGTGTTCTTATCTCCCTCACTGCTTTGATCAAATAATAAAAGAAGATTCACATCGCCAGCTGGATGCCCTTTGAGAGCGAAGATGAGAGAGTTTTAAAGAGAAGTTCGAGTCTGATGTAACACTGTCCCCTACTGGCTATTATAATGCAACACACAAAGCATGTCTAGCCTATGGGTTCCTTCTTTGTAGTTTATCGTGTTTGCTTTGCTAAATTGTGTATTGCTATCTTGTTTGTTATTTTGTTAGGATGTGTGACAGTGGGGAGGGTCTGTACACTTTCCAGACACGGGAAGGAGAGCAGATCTACCAAAGGGTTCATTCTTCCACTCTAGCTATTGCTGAGCAGCATAAGAGAGTCCTCATGGAAATGGAAAAAAACAGCAAGGTAACAAAGCATGCAGTGGGTTCAAAAGCCTGAGGCCACTTTGAAAATCTAATTTGAAACAGAGAATAGACTAAATGTTTTGACACATTTAAAACTAAGACATTTCAACAAAAAATAGTCTGCTCTATTTCTAGGTCACTATAATAAGCAATTTTGCAACACTGGCCTTGTGAATTCCTTTGTACAAAAGACCTTCTTTGTTAACAGTCTCAAATCAGTTCAACTTGTTTCATGCAAATTTTTACTTTGATAATATACACTACAATATACTATTTATTTATAGCTTTAATTTATTTGATAAAAAAATACAGTAAAACAGTAATACTGTGAAGTATTATTATAATTTATATAGCTATTTTCTATTATAATATATTTAATATATTATTAAAATGTATTTTATTCCTGTGTTGGCAAGGCTGAATTTTCAGCAGCCATTCCTTCAGTCTTAAGTGTCACGTGATTTTTAAGTAACATTTAACAGAAAGTATAATTTCATATTATCACAGCTGAAACCAGTTGTGCTGTTTAATATTTTTGTGGAAACAGTGATGCATTTTTGTTTAGGATTTTTTGGTGAATCAAAAGTTCAAATAAATAGCATTTATTTGAAATAGAAATTACTTGTAACTATGTAAATCACCCATTACATTTTTTTTATTTTTTACAATTTAATGCATCCTTGCTGAATACAAGAAATCATTTCTTAAAAAAAAAAAAAAAAAGTCCATATTTTGAAACGGTAGACACCTAGTGTGTATTAAAACAAAGCTGGAGAGATTGCAGACAACTGATTTTCTTCCTGTCTTACAACTTTCAAAACACCAGAACCAAAGGCATAATTTTGTGTTAATAGCAAACTAATTAATTCTTTCCCATCTCTCTTCTATCTCTCCCCAGCTTTTATCTAAGGGTTTAGAGGGGACTTCCTACCCCTGCACCCCGACAGCAATCTTACCACGAAGTGCTTTCTGGCACCACATCAC